TCTCTTTCGCCGTAATTTACACTTTCTCGTTATTACAACTTTTTAACTTCCTCTCTCATCTTTCACTCGCACCTCCACTATCTTCGATATTACTATGAAAAGAAACTGTTTTACATTTATTTAATAATTTTATTTTATATATGCGATTGCGTTTGACGAATAAAGAATAAATATGTAAAATTGACGCGTTAATATTACACGGTTAGTGAAAGCAGCCTTGGGGATTGTTTTGATGTGCAAGGGCGGACACGAGTCGCACGTCACCCCCTCACCCGGCTCACCGATAATAAACCGTGCTGTTATCATTTAAATATGTTATTGTTTTAAGTTCTACTGACTGCTGACCGATATGACGCATATTTAAAACTGTCGCAGAACTATCAAGAGTTAAATAGTATTAATATATTACCACGAAAAGTAACTGATTAATAATTATAGTTGCTAGTACAAAATGAACATACGTAAAGTGTATGTAACTTTCGGCCGATTTTCGAATCGCCTCCGCTTTCCCCTGCACCCCTCATCTCATTAAATACGTATATATTTTAAATAAAATTATTTTAAATACTCCCGACTGCTAACTGGTATGATATTTAAACCAATCGACTGTCATGAGACATTTTGACTGCACGCGGAGCGTTGAGGGGGACAGTGCAACTTTTGGTTAATCATTTACTTCTAGTTATTATATATTGAACGATATTCTAATTTTTAATTGTGTCTAAAGCGGCTAAGTATTTTATTGTATTCTTTTTCTTTAGAAATTCACATTATAATTTTTATGTACTTACGAATTGACTCTCATTGTCCTTCACCTTGTTTTAATTATTAAATTGTAATATATTACCACGAAAAGTAACTGATTATTAATTATTAAAGTTGCCAATACAAAGTGGACATACGTAAATTGTATTCGACTGTCATGGGACATTTCGACTACCCGCAGAGCGGTGAGGGGGACAATGCAACATTTGGTTGATTTTCGAATCGCCTCCGTCTATATTTCGCTGTCCCTCTCACATCAACGCACCGCGCATAATATATTACCAGGAAAAATTACCGTTTTTCATTTATTTAATAATTTTGACTTTTTTGTTTTATAATATGCAATCGCGTTAACGAAAAAAAATTAATATGTTGTTATAAATCTGACGTGTCAATATTAGACGGTTAGTGAAAGCAGCCTTGGGGATTGTTATCAAAACAACACATCAAATGGAAGGGCGAATGCGAGTCGCACGTCCCCCCCGCGCCAGGCTCACCGATAAACCGTGCAGTCATCATTTAAATACATATTAAATAAAATTATTATTTTAAATACTACCGACTGCTGACCGATATGACGTACATATATTTAAAACTATCGCAGTACTATCACGAGTTAAATTGTTAATATATTACCACGAAAAGTAACTGATTATTAATTAAAG